CTCGAACCAAATTCCAATCACCCATAACCCCACGAGTTCAAATATATAATTTGTTTCAAGATCCGACCCCAAATTGAGGTTGAATCGCGAACGTTTAATGTATGGCTGGCCTAGCTCCGTTAGTAGGCGCCATCACGACGCCCGATGGTGAAAAAAATCCGGGTCGTGACAAGGAGCCGCGGTTGTTGTTAATTATTAGCTGGCTGGTCGAGCTGTGGAGATTCAAGGTAAACCCGTCGTCGTGTTCACAAGCCTCAGAGTCCCCTTCTGTTATAGTACTTGTACCATTTAATTCTATTCCAAATAGTTGTATTTAGGGATTTTTCTAGCAAACTCAGTAGAGCTTATGACTTGTACTATCGGTTTTGGGAATTATAATTTGTGCAAGATTTTATCTCGTATTTTTCATTTCATGGTAGAATTCTTCTGTTTATTTAGTAGGTGTTAGGCTTACCTAGTCTTACAGACTAGGTGCCGTCACGACATCCTACGGAGAAAAATTGGGGTCGTGACACAATTAATTCTAGATATATTCACAAACAAGGAAGTCAAATAAATAAAACGATGCTCATAACAGACACAACACATCAACTGAAGAGCTTGTGTATATTAGTGATGACATTGAACCAACGATTATTGTTGAAGCAGAAATACATCCCCAGCAGAAAATCAACAAAACATTAAGAAAGTTTACAAGAAAATCAATACACCCAAATAAAAAGTAGAAAAAAGAATTGACAACCTTATCTCTAAATCTCCTTTGGCGTGTGATTAAAACCCTCAAGAGAAGATTTTTTATTAATAATTCCGGACTCCTTATATGCTTTGTGAGATGTTCAATATCGGAGTACTTAGCTTAATGAAAATTAACAAAGAAATCGATTAGGTAAAAAAGTAAGCAGAAAGAATTAAAGCAATGGACAACAATACCTGATTTTCAGATAAATATTCAATCGTTGAGATATGCAAAAGACAATGTACCACTTTAAACCAAATATTCACTTGTGGATCAAATACTACTGAAATAGTGACTCCCTAAAGATCCTCGTTACATAACTTGTTTCTACTTTATCAGATAACGAGCACGATTAGTAGATCTCGACTTGCATGAAAATCAATTAATTTTATTATAATATAATACTTAAAGGTATTAATGATTATAACTAAGGAAATAACAAATCTTTCAAGAATTAAAGGTAAATTGTTCTTGTAAATTAGGATTCCTTACATAACTAAAATAAGGAGAGGATTAATAGCCAAATAATTAAAACAAGGAAAGGATTAATAGGCAAACTATTGGTTTATTTTAATTCCTAAATATTAGAAAAAATACTTAAATGACTATTTTGTCTAGTGTGAACTCTATTTCTAAAAGGTAAGAAAGATAAATGATATTTTGCTAAAGGGGTTTCGTGCATTTAATATTGTAATAGATAGATAGATTTTGTACTTATTCGAAACATATATATTCTTTCAACTTTGTTTCTTTCTCAAATTAGCAAAAGAAAAACGTAGTAGAGATATTTGAAGGAACTGCTTCCTTTCCTCAAGCAAATATTGTCTATAATTCATACATCTGATATTAAACCACACTTTGTGACATATTCATAGAGCACCATTTGATTGCTTAAAAAGTAAAGGAGATGAACTAAAACTCCACTATAACTCGCTTATGCTTGAGTGTGAAAACTTGGGTTTTTAAAATTGGAATTTGTTTTGAGTGGGTGTTGGTAGAATAGATTTGGTATATTTTATAGAGTTTGAATCTCGATTTTGAGACGATTTAGTTTGAAGATTTTAGGTAGTTTGAATTTAAAATTCGATGTAGATGATGAACATAAGAAGATGATTTGTATATTTCCCATGTATCTCCTGCGTATTCCATATGTATCTACTGTATATCTGCGTATACTTGTGTGTAAGATACATGTACCGCAAAGTAATTTTTCACCTCGATTTCAACCACAAATTTTAACTCCGGACCAGTTCAAATCACCTTCGTTCTTCCTCAAATTTTATATATTGCTTTGTATATGTGTTTTCAACCAAATTCAGCTTTACCCATTGAAAAAAATCATTTTTTTTCCTAAATATTTTGTATGTTGTATATCATTAGTAGCTTTTTGTTGGCTAAAAATGGTTAAATGATAAACTTTTTATATTTTAGTACATCCCCGTGGTTAAAAACTTTTTTCCATATAAGTTATGTAGAGATTCTCTTATAGCAAATTTTATACTAGTTATTAGAGTGTTATCCAGTATATAGTGATCATGAAGGCAAAGTGCTTACTTGGGCAGTTTTCATTCAAAAAAGTGAGTTCTAGAAATACCAAATGCGTTTGTTGATGAAGAGCACAATTTATGGTTAAGCTATATTATCATTTTGGAATGCTCAAATTCTTTTTTCAACATTGTGTTCAGAATTTATATGAGTCAGAATATTGGTACGAATAAGGTTTTTTTTCCCCCCTATAGTTTGTACCATTTCCAACTCACCTTTCCTAGGCTGCACTAGCTCTTGACTCATAACTATAGTTTATACCATTTCCAGAAATTGCCTTAAATCTTGAAATACATGATTAAATTTTATACACTATAATGTATATACACAAATTATCTTTTATCATATTAAAGTAACTTTATTCACTTCAACAATAAAGTAATGTAACTATTTGTCGTCATATTGCAATTGAAGTATAGTGATTTGCTCCGAAATTAATAAAAATGACCGCATGATCAAATTTAGGTTTAAACAATACAAATAACGAAAAATAAAAATAGGTTTAAACAATACAAATAACGAAAAATAAAAATTTGACCACATAATGGAAATAAGTAAAGCTTGATTATGATGTATGATTAATGATGTTGTTACGAGTTGACCAACCATTTGTTCCCCATGGTTTAAAACCAGAAGGCAGCATATAATAAATTGAAAATTTTCATTTGATATTCCCAACCAACTTGCAAATTTCTCTTCCTAATTAAGTTGAAAAGCAAAAGACTATGAAGTTTCAACTGCAGTATTTTTAATTTTTTATGCTAAAGGACGGGCTAAGGCTGTTGCTTAGATATGCGATTAGAACAAAGATTAAATATGACATGTGATTAATGATGTCGTTTCGTGTCAACCTATAACAAATTTCTCCTTTTTCCTTTTGATTTTTCCAATTTAATAACGTGGCTAAATTTAAATTGGCAGTGTTCCATATAATTTTTCATTTCGTCAAAAGTTTGACTTTTTCTGCTCACTTTTTATATTTTTCCCTTTCGTACCATGTATTCTATCTATTTAAGAAATAAAAAACATGACTTTTGAAGGCAAAAAATAAAGATGAAAGAACAAAAGACAAAAGTAGGTGTTATTTGTGAAAAGTGAATTCCTTTTTAACATTTCAAATTTTGAAAATTTGAGCTTTCAAACACGTCTGTTTAGCTGAATTTAAGTAGTTTTTAGGTATAAATGCTGAAGAGCATTTTTTCAGTGCTGGAATATATTTTATAAATAAATAGTTTTATTTTCGAAATACTGGATAGAAGTGCTTAAGTTGAAAATAATTATTGATGTGTATGGTTAAAATGTGATGACTAAAATATTATTAAATTTGTTTAAAAAGAGCTGATTATTATAAGACTTTTAGTATTAAATTAATTCAAATACAAATTAATTTTGGTCTCAATCCACTTGCATTACTATATTGATTAGTTAAGGTTATTTTCAAATTTTAATAAATATAATTAATTCAAGGTTGCCTTCTTATACATTTGAGGGTGTAGAGTTAATTCCCGGTGCATTTATTTTTATGACATATGTTGATCTTTTATGGACCTTTTTACAATCTTTATTAGTTTTTTTTATTTGTCTAAGTTTTGGGGATTGAATTACTTATATATATGTGTGGTGGAAGATAGTTGATATCCCGTGGAATTAGGTGAGGCGCACGCAAGCAAAGGCGATGCCAAGAATTGAAGCTCATGGATTCCGAATTTTAACCTTTTTAAGTAATTGAGTTATAAATTAATAATTTGAACATATTCGATGAATATTTTAAGACATATATAGAGTTTGAATTAAAATTATTAAGTTTGACTGAATTCCTAACAACACTTTAGCTCTGCCCATACGAGCAAGCTAGCCTGAACATCATGATTATAACAAATGTGGAAATTTCACGAACTAAGCGTTTGGTTCTCTTGCATTTCTTCTTATAAAGCATATTGTAAAAAATTCCCGTATATTCGCTGGACAATCCAATTGAAGTTGATCAATATAATCTCCCCTAACTCGTACTCTATATATATTAACTTGTCCGGTTGTCCCTTTGCAATAATTCATATAACCGCTATATAACTAACACAGAATTATTACAAATAAAAAGTCCGCATTTACTTATGATCCGAAGAAATATATTAATATAAGAACGCACAAAATTAAATTTTAACGGAACAAATCTAACCGGATCTAGGAACAATGAAATGAAACCTGAAATAGTATGCCAATGTCAACCCCAACTAACTTTAATTTGGTTTTTTTGAATAGATCTTTTTAAATGAAGAGTATGTAAGACAAACAAGTCAACCATAAATGAAAATTGAAAACAACTATGTAGTATTATCTTTTTTAAACAAAGTCTCAAATTCGTCATTGTCTAAATACATAGAACAACATCTTTTTTCTAAATATCAGATGATGAACAAACGCTGAGCACATCTATGAGAATTTTAAATAGATAAAAATAAAGGATTGTTGTACAAAAAATATTATGTTGTATGTTTAAATTCTTCGTACTGATAGTGTATAAGAAATGTTGTACTAGTCACGTAACCTAAAAAGATAATTATAACTTACTGTAAATTCAAAGTATGGTTAGTATTATCTTGAAAATAAGACACGTCACTTGTTGCAACATGTCAAAATACATGACTAATACTATATTTATATTGTTGTGCATAAATAAGTTAGGTACATCCTTTTTCTATATAAAGGATACATGCAAAACAAGAAATGCATCTTACAAAAGTATTAAGGTTTCTATAACCTGCTATAAACATGAGTCATCAAACACCTCTTAGACTTCCTCTCTTGACCCTATCAAATGATCAGTATTTGAAACCTAACACTTCTAACTGGTTCTCAGCTTGTGATGAAGTCCGCCGTGCACTGGAAGAGTACGGTTGTTTTCTGGCGGTTTACGACTCGGTTTCGCCGGAGCTAAATAGTGATATATTTCATGCACTGGAAGAATTGTTTGATCTTCCCACAGAAACCAAACTTTGTAACACTTCTGAAAAACCCTTCTATGGTTACTATGGAAAAATCCCTGATTTCCCTCTTCAAGAAAGCCTAGGGATTAATATTGGAGATGCAATAACTACCGAAGGAGTTCAAAATTTTACAAACCTTATGTGGCCTTCAGGAAATGACCACTTTAGGTACTCCATATGTTTCATTTTATATAACACCCTTTATATATTAGGAGTAGTCTGTTTCGAAAAAAATGATAACTTTATATATTTGAAAACTCTTTTAACTTTAAATTTCTTATGTTACCTTCAGTGACATGGTCGTATAGTCATCAAAATATCATGGATGTTTAAATTACAAATTTTTATATTTATTTAATTAATTTATTTGGTAATTTAGTTCGAAGTCGAATAATATTCTATTTGATCAAAGTTTTATGAAAGTATTCTTGGAATTCAATACTAATTAAGCTGTAATTTCCCTCTGTTTTCATTTCTAGGACATGAATCCAATTTTGGAACTGTTTTTGTATTTTTGTGAGTGATCTGAAGTAAATTTTGAAAGTAACTTTTTGAAGCTTTTAAAATTTCAAAAATTTTCGAAATTCAAGTTCAAGTGAAATTTAAAATTTTCATGGCCAAACACTGCTTCTGATAAAAATGAAAATTTCTCGAAAAAAGTTTTAAATAAAAAAAATTTATCCCCGAACGGGGCCTCTCTAAAAAATATGTCCATTCCAAAAGTTGAGTTACATACATAGAGCAATGAGTTGTGGCCTAATTAGCACGTAGTCTCATATCCTTAATGTTTTTTTCTTAATATAGTGAAATTATTCATGACTATGCAAACATAGTAGCTGGTTTGGAGAAGATGGTGAAAAAGATGGTTTTAGAGAGCTATGGAGTAGAAAAATGCTATGATTCTCTAGACGCATCAACAACTTATCTCCTTCGATTAATAAAGTATAGGACACCAAAATTGGATGAATCAAATGTTGGGTCACAGGTTCACACTGATAAAACTTTCCTTAGCATACTTCACCAGAACCAAGTTAATGGTTTGGAAATTAAGACTAAAGATGGTGAATGGATGGCTGTTGATATGACTCCTGCTAATTCCTTTCTTATTATGGTAGGAGAGGCATTTTCGGTAAGTTTTCTATCTTCATTTAATTTATGACAATGTTTTACAATATTAGTGTATTTTAATTTATTAGTCTCACGATGAACGCTTTAGGGTGTGTTCTTCATATCAATAAATCTATAATTTTTTTAAAAATTATAAATATTATTAAACAATATGATTGAGTTATAAAATAAAAATTATAGAAAAAGTATATAGTTAATTATTATAAAATTTGTATGGAAAAAATAAATTTGAAACATACCTTTTAAAATCATCGGTTTGAGAAAAATAATATAAATTAAATATACAATCATTTAATGTTATTTTACCGGCCTAGTAATTAAATTCAAATTGATTAAACAATATATATATATATATATATATATAGCGACCACATATTTTAATTAATATGGTATTCTAGGTTCGCGTTTCATCAAATATTTAAAAATATTCTATGCAATATAAGACCTCGTTTTTGTCAAGTTGATGAAGATTAATTTGACATCGCATAAGAATATGATTAACTATTCTTCACCGGACAAATATTTTCACATGGTTTAAATAAGGAAAATTTTAATTAATAAAATATTATTTAATCGAATTCAAATAAAAAATAATTTATGTTAAATAAAATCTTAATGATTTTAAGGGTAAAATATAAAATCGGCCGATCGGTCAAAACTAATTGTGTTCGATAGCCAAAAAATATATAAAATATGTTTATAAGCCAAAAAGTATATATAAAATGAATATAAATTTCATCGGCTACTTTTTTGGGACCGGCTTAAAATATACATTTTTCAAGATCTAATAAGGGTAATTTTTTTATTTTAATATCTTTAATATTAGAAAAAATAACTATTTTGCTCAGTGCAAACTCTATGAGTAATAAAGATGAACGATATTTCGCTAAGGGCGTTCGTTCCTTTTAAAAGTTATCTACTTTTTACGTTGATAGTCAAACAACAATTTGAAGAGGAAGGGAGGAGGGCTCAAAGGCTGAAAAGCTTTTTCGAGTTTAATTTTTACACGCCAATTGATTAAATTTCACATTATTATGTCATATTAAAGATAATTATAAGTAATCGTTTATAAAAAGTAAGATTCATAATTTAAAAAGTAAGTAACCATTTTTTCTGTTAGTGTATATAAGTTACAGTCAATTGAGAGTTTAATTTCTATCCGTATACATAAATTTTTACACTATTAAATCCTTTGAAAGATAATTACAAGTAACCGTTCATAATAAGTAGGATTACTAATCCGAAAATGAGACATATAATAAGTAGGATTACTAATCCGAAAATGAGACATATTACCTAGTAATACATACTACAATTCACCAACAGTATAAAAGTTATTTACACGACAACTGATATAAGTTAAATCTTTTCTTTAAGAGTCTATAATGTGGAGCCTGATATTATAACATTATTCTGTACTACTCCTTAAACAGTGACTAATCAATTAATTAACTCTATATCTTTTATCATTGCAAAGGCATGGAGCAACAACAGATTGCATTGTCCTGTACATAGGGTGATTGTAAAGGAGAATAAACCAAGGTACACATTAGCACATTTCTCATATATTAATGGGATGATACAAACCCCAGAAGAGCTCGTTGATGAGAAACACCCTATCAAATTTCAACCATTTCATAACTTTGAATTGCTCGATTTCTTTGCCAAACATGTTAACGACCAAATGGAATACACTGTCAGAGCCTTCTGTGGGGTTTGAAACATTTTGTGAAGCTTTAATTGCTCATTGTAATTTTTTGCCACCGTAATAAGACAAGTAACTTGCTATAATAGGTTAAATTATATCGATGGTATATAAAAAAAAATATTTCACTGTCGATGGATATTAGTTATATTCATATGTATATCTCAAAAAGCTGAAAGTATCCATCCGATCAGCTGAAAAAGTCATGTGTACTTCTCTTAGCTAATTAATTTGCTTAATGTTGTGGCCTTGTATTTAGAAACTGGTCAGTTTTTCTAAATTAGAACATACGTGGCCTGAAAGTGACTACTTAATCTGAAGTTGAAAATTCAAAACTATATTACCAGTCTAATTTGAAAAAATGGTCAATTACTAAATATAAGGCTACAAAAATGACCACCTAATCCAAATAACACCACAATATGTGGCCCTTCCGACTGGACCAAAATATATTGTTATTCTCCAAACTTTTGGACTTGAAAAAGAAAAAGAAGATAATTAATGTTTTTACTAGGGAAAAGTGGGCAGAACTTTGTAGTTGAGGTTTAAAACTCTCATCTGTAAGTTACTTTTTTGAAGGATTAGTTACCTCCTTTAGCAAAAGTTTATACCTTATTTTATTTTAAATAAATATTCTTTTAAAATATTATATTCCATAGCTACCTTTTGATTTTTTAGCCAAATATCTATTTAAGTCACCTCCTACTTTTAAGCCACAAAATAAGTATTGTTTTTTTTTTCTCTCCCATCAAATTCTAATAACCACTAAACACTGGGAAGATGAAAGGGAAGGGGAATATGTTGTGTCTAAAGTATTTTATCAGCAGCAGCAGATCAAGCAAGCTGAAAAAATTGAACAAGAATTGACCGAAGAGTTTGAATGTCTGGTTGCTAAAGTAGATCCACATACCCCCTAGTATGTGACTCCTGACCCCCCTCGTAGCGAGAGGCTATTTTCAACTATGATTTCTATGTCTATATCGTGCGGCGCCTCTGATTTTTAGTTGTGTGCTAGGGTTTTTCCTTTTTTTTTCATTTGTTCTGATGAGTTATAGGGATATTCGGTGAAGAGAAAGAGAGAGAGAAAAGCGAAAGAGTTGAGGGTTTTTGCTCGACGGCGAATTCGCCAGAAATTAGGGTTTGTTCTTGAACAAAGACGACGGAGTTTGAGGCTGAGCAACTTGATTTTCTGTTAATATATTTCAATGTATCACGCTGTATTTTCATGTATTTCATTGTATTCATTATCTTTTTTTTTTATTGTAATTCAATGTATCTCGCTGTATTCCATGTATTTCATTGTATTGACTATCTTTTTTTTATTGTATTTCAATGTATCCCGCTGTATTATATGTATTTTATTGTATCCACTGTCTCGCTATATGCCATGAATGTATTCATATATTTTTTTTAATTAATATAATTTATGTATTCAGATGTATTATATAATTTTTCTGAAGATTGCTATATTTTTGGGATATTTTTCTGTTGAGAATCTTTTTTATAACTGGAAATACAAAATTTGTGTGTTATAATTGAGTTTGTTGAGTTATATTAGGAGCCTATTATGTTAATTGATTCACTTTCTGTGTAAAAACAGTCCCTGTTTCACGCCGTGAATACAGTCGAATACAATAATCTGTCAAGTTGTAATCTCATGTTTCACGCCATGAATACAATCGAATACACTCGAATACAACAACTGATTAGCTGTACTTCCCTGATTCACGCCTATTTTTGCTACTGTATTCATGAATACAGTTGCTTAAATATATCTAATACATCTTATAACAACAGAAAACGTATCTACAATCCATAATATAGTAAATGGTATCTATAGATAGCTAATAGTGCTTTACGAAAATTTCTCTTTTTTGAACTCCTAAGTTGGTAATAAATTAGAACTTGCTAACAGTGGCAAGATCATGAACATCTAATCTACTGATAGTAATTAATTAACACACTCAGTTAATTTTTTTTAATATTTTTAGAATTATTAAATTAAATAACTTATTACTATGTCCTAGTTTCCTTAGACTTGATAAACCGGTAATAATTGATAAATTTAGGTACAAACAATCCATTCGTTCAAAAAGACTTTATCACTTTATTAAGGGTTTTTTGACACAGTTACCCACAAAAATAAAATTATTTATCTTTGTCTACCCATTTGTTTTTCTACCCATAAACTAATTATATTTCCTACCCATAGTAGGTTTTGTGGGGAATTTTTTCTTTATTCTCCAATTCTTTTTTATTTCTATGCTTCTTTTCTTTTCTTCTTTTTTTTCTCGTTTTCTTCTTATTTTTTTTCTTTTTTCCTTTTCTAATTTATTTAACTTCTGTTTTTTTATATTCTTTTTCTCTTCATAATCTAATTTCATTTACTGTTTTCACTATTTTTTATTATTCTTTTTTTATATTATTACTAAAGAAAAATCAAATTGTGTACCACTTAAATGTAGTTAATACAACCAAAAAAATATTAACTAACATATGATACCAGTATAGTATATAGCTATACCAACAGGGTATACAATTGTACGCAAAGAGTTAAAAAATTTTTTAATTCAATTATTAAACTGAAATAATATCAGTTGTCAAAAAAAAAAATTAAAAATTCTAAAAGGACCTAATTGTAAAAGTATACCATTACATCATATAGCATACTATAATTTTTTTTTTCTGCATTTTCAGTTTGCCCCTCACGCTTGGGTAAAGGCTTAAAAAAAATTAAAAGGAAAAAGACAAGTGAATTTACGGGTAATAGTATACTATTATAGTATATTGTATACTATTACAGCATATTGTTACAGTATCTTGCATATTATTACAGTATACCATAACAATATATTGTATACTATAATAGTATACTGTTGCAGTATAACTATATACTCCTATAGTATATTAGTATACTGTAGCGGTATACTGTTTTGTAAACTATAATAGTATAGTGTTGCAGTATAGCTATATACTCCTACAGCATATTGTATACCGTAGCGGTATATTGTAGCTGTGTTCTTCTTCGATTTTCAACTGAAAATTCGATCTCAATCACCTCAAATCAGCTCCAAACGCTATCAAATTTCAGTATGAAATTTCAGAAGGTACTATAAGCAATATTTAACAGCACCCACTTTGAATCAAACAAGAAATCTTCAAAAATAAAATTGTGTTTCAAGCCCAACAATGGTAGGACCATGGAAGTATCACCTCGAACTGGTTCTTCGGTACAAAAAATGTCAGGTTCTTGCTTCTCTGTTGCTGCTACAGTATCTACTTCTTCTACTTCTTCACTGTATCTCTTCACTCAAAAGCATAAANGAGGACGGAAATGACAAGAAAAAAAGTGTAGAGCATTTTGCCGGTGGAATTGAGTTATTGAGACACGTAGTGGTATTCGTCATTTTCTTGTGCAATGCAGAGAATTCTTCAATTTTGGGCATAAACTGGACGATAGAAGAAAGAAAGATGATTGGCAAGCAAAAAACCGGGTATCGTCCAGTTGAGAGTATACCTCAACGATAACAGTATAAACAGAGTCCTTTGCATTTTCAGCTCTCCATGTGCCCAAACCAATAGCAGGAATCTTGTGTCCACTCAACAGCTCAAAATATTCTATTTTCTCATTTTGTGGGCTATTGTCATCTGAGCAATTTTCCTATTCTTCTTCTTCACCTATATCTGGTTTAATTTTGAATCTTGATATATGACTTTATTTATGAAATATCCAATTCGATAAGAAGGAATTAATTAAGGCACATTTATATGGCCAGGGAAATTGAGTAGCAATGGAGACGCCAGCTGAAGAAAAAGGATACACGTAGCATTGCATGTTGACACGTTCGAAGCCATTCGGAAATCTTGCATCTGATTTAATTTTTTGGTTGGCAAGCAAAAAATCGGGTAAATAGTTTGGGCCTCATGAGTAGGAGTAGTAAATGGTTTGGACATGGACATTTAAGGGTAAATAGTTTAGGATTAATGGGTATAAAGTGAGATTTTCTCTTTATTAAGGCCATATTAAATTTTTATCAAAGTTACCAGTTGACATGAATGGATATAAATTAAATTAAAAAGTGCAACCTCTTCGAATAGTAGTATATTTTTATGCACTATGCTTTATAAGTAGATTAGCATCCTGATTCTCCAATATAATAAATGAAGTCAATGATGATTCCGCCACGGAAAAGCCGCTTCCGTCTTACATTGCATTGATAGGGTCATTAGCAGTACGTTTTCGCCAAAGTTTGGTCTAACTTTTGACAGCCAAATACGAACGTAGACTTTGAAAATTGTAATTGTATAAATATTATACTGCCGCGTGGTATTTGCAGGTGTAGTTTATAATAAGTAATAATTGCAATTTCAGTTGACGCGACCTAATTTAAACCGTCCACTGTATTAATAAACAACTAACTGATTAAGGTTGCAATTTAGTACACTAAAAGACATTCATGATAATATTTTCTTCAAAATAATATCTAGAAGACCTATTCAAAGCTATGTGTCACAATAATCTAATACGGTCATACATTTTATAAACGGGAAAAAGTTAGATAACTACCATATCATCATGTGTCATGTGTGACGATTTTAAAGAAAAATTTAAAGGTATAGCAAAATATTTCGTAAAATGTAAGTCATGCTATAAGGGAATCCACTAACAAATGCATTGTCTCCTCTAACAGATAAATAGAATATTCCAGAAGTTATTAAAATAACTCGCAGAAAATCTATTAACAACCCAGCAAATTACTGAAAATAGAATGTTAAGTTTGGACCTACGAGTCTTGACACCTGACACCTGACACTTGGATGTCAAAGCTTAACTACCTTTGAATAATTGATTTTGGTTGCATTTATTCCAATTTGAATAGCAATAGTATACAAGACAACAAGTCAACCATAAAGAAGAGAAACATCCAAAAAAAAAAAAAAAAAAAGAGAAGTCAATAGATTCTTACATCAGTTGCCCACCAATATACACAGTCCATTAGAATTTTTTCGGAAAATGCATATTTTTAGCCACTCAAAATATATATATATATAATATATATATTTTATAATTTTTTTAGCTAGCGAATTCAATTAGTTTCGATCGATCAATCGATCAATTTTGTATTTTGTCT